TGAAGAGTGGTAGTATTCAAACTTCTATAATTGATTTAACTACAGAAAATACTGTTTTCTCTCTCACAGATATACACCTACACCTACACATATATCTGTAGCCCATCTAGATATGGAAGGGAAAAAAATGCCAAGGTGAAGAGTAGGAGTTACCAGAAGCATTGGCATGAACATATCTGGCCAGTTGTGTTCAGGAGTTTGCAGATAGTATCTTGTGACACTTGGAGGCTCCCCATTAATTGCCTTTGTCTCAGCTTTCCCAAAATATGTTTCACAATGGAAATAATTAACACCCTTATCACTTTTGTCTCACTCATCTTACTGAAGCATAAGCCAAATAAATAAATGAATGTGGAGGGAGAGAACAGAATGACATGTATTCCCAATCCTAATGTGGAGGCATTAACTCAAGGGGTACTTTCCATGGCTTCTTGTATTTGGCTTTGTGTGACTTCCTTCTTTAGGTAGGAATTCTTTAATTTCTAAAATGTCAGACACACTCAAAATGAAATGCTAACAAGGATAAAATGCATTTTTGAGTTATCTGCTGTCTTTAGAATATGTGCTCTTCTGTTCTTTGCTATGGCTAATATCTGAGTGTTGACTATATGGCCATAAGATTTCAATATTTAACAGATTTATCAGTCTTTGAGTTCTTTAATTAGAATCACTTATAAGGTATATTTAGTACTGAAGAGCAGAATGAGTTTTTTTTTTTTTTAAATCATGATACAATTTTGTATTATGGTGGTCAGGCAGCTGAACTATAGTCATTTAATTGGCCATTTTATAAGAAATGGTTTAAGACTACATTGTCGAATAATTTTTTAACAATCTGACATATTGGAAACAACATCGACCAATAACTAACCTATTAAACTGGTTCCTCCTCTAGCAAATGGGGAGGGCAGATCATGTGGCAAAAGAAAGGCACAGTTGTAAAATTCTCCTTGTAACATGAAGATATTCCTATGGAAAATACTACTGCTGCTTAAAGATTTTTTGAAACCTACACTCATGGTTGAAAGCCCTATGTCGTATTACTTTATTATAATAAATATGTAAGATGACAGGAGATAGATGTATAACCTATAGATATTTTGTATATTCTTCACTTGAACAAAACACATTTATTGTAAAAGTTAACTTTAAATTCTATAACCCAATTATGTTCAGTTAACTTATGTTAAAATCATCTATATATTCCAACAGCGAAAAAGTGCCCAGTAAATCAGACTTTGTAGATAAAATAAAAGTCTGCCCTGCCCCATGGTGCAATGGGCAGGTTAATTTAGCAGCAAGGTTTTATGTACAGGGACCTGCAGCAGTTACTCTTCAGCATCAGTTGTACAACATTGACATTGTCATCATGTTCTCTGCTCCCCTTCTACAGCACTGACCATTTGTATTGCTCTCTAAACATATATCACCCAGAATTTGGTTTTTCTCCCTTTTTCATTATGTTTAATAGTTTGATTATAGTATCATGCTTGGCCAGTAGGTGTCACTTGTAGCCTGATTTATCCTCAAGATTCCTTTAAATGTAAGCTTTGGATTAAATTATTCACAGCCAATTATTGGATTAAGTTGTATACAACCAATTCCCAACTTTAGAAAGCTACATATTTAAAAATCAAGTGTGTCTTGATCACTTAAAATGAGGAATAGATGTATAATTCTACACAGTGTATGTGAAGTGTGTAGGGAGCAACATTGGCTCCTAGAGGTCTGCATTTTAACATATATAGATAGGATGCCAATTATAACATCCTATGACCTAGAAACAACCTTATCTGCTGCATGCCGGGGATCATCTTCTTAAGGCGTGATGGGAGGGAACTCACTCTAGAGCATTGAAAGTATTGTCAACATGGCAGCTGAGGTGCTTTCTTTGCTGGGAAAAGCTGGGAAGAGACTGGCAGAATGGCGGCTTCAGGAGTTAATACCTCTCCAGATGGTGAAGTAAACGGGTTCAGTTTATCTTGTGAGAGACGTACCCAAAGATCAGTCATAACTGAGACGATTTCAAACTAGCCAGGCACAGGTGTTTTCTGTTGGTATACAGCATCTATATAGTCATCTTAGGTTTTGTTTTGCTTTTCTCAGTTTTAAAATGTATTTATTATAATTACTGTATATTTGAGCTTAAGGTTTGATTGCACAAGTCATTTCCTACTGAGTAGACTGCTTGTTATTTGCAGTATAACAATTTGAATCAGATGAGACAAGTGCCGTACTAATACATATATTTTGCATGATTATTTTGTCTTGCCGACTGATGAAACATCTTGTTAGCAACTCTTTTTTTTTTTTTTTTTTTTTTTTTTTTGAGATGGAGTTTCACTCTTGTCACCCAGGCTGGAGTGCAATGGTGCGATCTCGGCTCACAGCAACCTCCGCCTCCTGGGTTTAGGCAATTCTCCTGCCTCAGCCTCCTGAGTAGCTGGGATTACAGGCACGCACCACCATGCCCAGCTAATTTTTTGTAGTTTTAGTAGAGACAGGGTTTCACCATGTTGACCAGGATGGTCTCGATCTCTTGACCTCGTGATCCACCCGCCTCGGCCTCCCAAAGTGCTGGGATTACAGGCGTGAGCCACCGTGCCCGGCCGTTAGCAACTCTTAATGCCTTTATTTTCTTAAGGTATTGGCATTCTCTAAGTTTTAATGTTAAAGTATAAGTTAATTGTAATGCCTCCTATAAAGTTTGATTTCATTTGCAAAGTGAAACCATTCTTACTCAGTCTAGTAGTTGAACTTTTTCTTGTATGTTTTACAATCATTTAGAAGTTTTTCATAGTGTGTGAAAGAAAATAAGATTTTAAGGAAGTACTCCACCCCTTTACAAAAGTCTTTGTGATGCAGCATCTATTTAGAAATATGATCTTTTAAAGTACAGCAGGTATTCTTATCTGTTTAATCTCTTGGAACTTTTATAATTGTTTTCTGATTTAATGTTTACTAGTTTGTAACTAATCTTTTTCAGAAGGCACATTGTCCCTTTATTTTGTATTTAAATTACTCTTAAATAATGTGTAATTTGAATATGAGACTTCTAAAAAGTAGCACTTATATAGTTAACTGTTTATTTTCAAACTAACTTAAAAACTTTTTGTAAGATCTTATGTCAAGGACAAAGTTAATTTGTCACTACTGTGTGTTTCAACTTAGCAGATGCATGGATCCTTGCTTGGTTTAGTTCATTTTCTAAAACTTTTGAAAAAATGTCTTGGCATTAACCAACTGCAGTTCAGTAGTTTTTCTCCTTTATTCTCAAATTGGTGTTGTGTCGCATGCTTCTGGGTAAGATGATTTCTTCTTTTAAATTCAGATTTTAATTAATATGTAGTGTTTGTTTACATTGTGTACTAGAGCTTAATGTATCACTAACGCTTTTTGTGTTTAACGTATCTCAGAGTGTTTGAAGTAACTGGAATGAAATAATTAACATTAAACCTCACCTCAGAACAAAAAAATAAAATAAAATTGAATCTGATGTTTCACTAAAACTTCTAGTACTTACTGGATATCTGGAGAGCCCCCCTCTTCCCACACACAATGTCTTAGGATATAGGACAGATCAGTGCTCAAAATTGTTGCCAGTATTTTTTCATACCCAAAGTTTGTCACCCTCACTTATTTAGATTATACCAGTATGACCAGGATCACAGACAATTGAGCTAAGAACATGGACTTTAAAATCAAATCGACCTGGGTTCAGATCTCTACTCAGCTGTGCTATCTTGGGCAACTGAATCTCTCTGAGTCTGTTATATCCTTGAAATGAAGATACTACCTCAAAGGAGTCTTCTGAAGGATTAAATGAGATAATATATCTGAAGGACTTAGCACAGTACCTAGCCTGTAGTAAATGCTCAATACCTGGTTGTTACTAAGATTCCCATATGGAATGGTAAAGTTCAGCAGGAGCAATTAACTATCCCAATGACTGAAGATAATGCCCTGCCTTTTTCCGGCTGATATACAAATACATTACTTGATCTCAAGGAAGCACCACTCAAAGTTCATGTCCTCCTAATGGTGGGATAGCAGTAACACTCTTCATACATGGAAGGACCACATACCTTTGAAAAGTATCGGTGAAAATGCACATAGTGCAAATTGTGTAACCTTCATGCTTTTATACCACACATCTTTTCTTTCTGTGCAACAGGCAGTTTTTCCAGTTTTATATTTTCTATTAAGCAACTAACAACATGTTCAAGTTTATTTTAATTACCAGGAATTTTAAGAGTATAGTATTTCCTAGGATGTTGGCATGGACAAGTGATTGCTTTTTAAGATGATTAAAGTTAGCTACCTTAACGTTATTATACTTGCATATATTTTTACCTTATAGAATTAGAACAATTCAGTGCATATTCTTAATTCATTAAACAATTTTACTGAAGCTAATACACAAAGACTCTGTTCCAGTCACAGATTCAGCAGCAAATGAGACAAACTCTCTGCCTCGTGAAGCTGATATTCTAATAGGGACATAGACAGTAAACACGAAAAATAAAACATGTGGTATATTATGTGAAAAATACTAAGAAAAATACTAAGTGAAAGATACTAAGAAAAAAATAATGCAAGTAAGGGATAGAAAGTGTGGGAAAACAATTTTGAAAGAAGGTGGCTGGAGAAATGCCTCACTGAGAAGGTGTTCTTTGAGTAAGAAAAAGAAAAGGAGGCAAGAGAATAAGCTACGTAGGTGTCTTGGAAGAACATTGTAGACAGAGGGAACATCAAGTACAAAGGTCATGAAGCAGGAACAACAGGGACTGCAGAAGAATGTTCCAGAGAAAGCATACTAGGAGGTGAAGTCAGAGCCTTGAGGGGTAGGGGAAAGATTATCTAGTCTTGTAGGTTACAGTAAGGACTTTAGCTTATATTCTGGGTGAGTCATATGGGAATTCTTTGAAAGATTTTGAGCAGAGAAATGGTATGATCTAACTTACATTTTAAGACTAGTACTCTGGCTTCTGAGTTTAGAATTTATAGTAGAGGTACAAAGTGGAAGCCGGGAGACTAGACTGGCTATCCCATTTATCCAGTTGAGAGATGATAGTGGCTTAAACCAGGACAGTAACAGTGGAGGTGGTGAGAAGTAGTTGAATTAGATTCAACTGTTTCGTTCAAATTAGATTCAACTGATTCAAACCCTTAAGATTTGCTGATAAATTGCCTGTGGAATGTGTGAGAAAGAGAAGGGAGTAAAAGGGTGAATCTAAGATTTTTGGTCAAAGCAAGTGAAATAGATAAGAGATGGGTAAGACTGGGTGAGATAGGATTGTGGAAGGATGATCTCGGTTTTGAACATGCTAAGTTTGAGGTATTTAACTGACATCTAAGTGGATCTCTTGAGAAAACAGATACATAAATCTAGTGTTTAAGGCAGATTTCCAGGCTTGAGGGAGAAATTTGGAAGTCATCATGACATAAATATGTGGTATTTAAAATTGTGAGGTTCAAGGACCAAGCCTCATATCATTTAGAGGTCAGGAATATGAGGAAGAAGCAGAAAAAAAAAAAAGGGCTGAAAAGGAATAGCCAGGCAAGTAGGAAGAAAACCCGAAGAGTATGGTCTCCTGGAAGCTAAGTAAAGAAGTTTAAAGCAGAAGGGGGTTCAGCTGTGTTAAAGGCTGCCAGTGGGTCAAGGAAGAGAACTGAGCTTTAATTGACCTTTGGATCTAGTAGCATGGAAGTCACTGGAGACCCTGATAAGGAGAACAAGTTTATAGAGTGGTAGAAGACATAAGCCTGATGGTAGTGGGTTCAAGAGAAAACAGGAGAGAAGTGGGAGACAGAGAGCCGTAGACACCCACCTCTTTCAAGCAGTGCCAAAGAGTTGGAAAATAAATGGGCTATAGCTGAAAATAAGGAACAAGGGAGGGAATGTTTTCTAAGATGAAAGAAAGAACAGCTGGTTATGAAGCTGAAGGGAATAGTTCAGAAGAGCAGGGGAAATTAATGAGGCAGGACAGAAAGGGAGGAATTGGTAGAGTAGCACTTCTGTGTCCTTGTAAAGACAAGGTGTAATACACAAGTGAAGCTGTTGGCCTTAGCTAGGAACATCAACAGTTCATCCATGGTCACAGGAGAGAAAACAGTATGTGGCCACAGATGTGATGAGGTGGGTAGATGTAGTGGTGAGAGTCAGTGGATATTCGCTTTGGATTGTTGCTGTTTTCTCTGCAAAATAGGTCCGCTACTGAGAATGAGGCTGGATTAGGAATGTTGGTGGTCTGAAGAGAGTAAAGTATGAAATCCGGAAGAGTGGGCCAGTGAGTGGACTAGTGCAGTGTGGTCTCTCTGCATGAGGGAGAGCCCATTTGTGGTAGCAATCACAAATTTAAAGTGAGACATTCAGCACAGTTGTGTGTTTCTCACAGCAAATTCAGCTGCATAGGTACAGCTACAGATTAGGTGGAGAATTGGATAGGATAGAACCAGGCTGAGGCTGAGTTGATTAAGTACAACCAAGTGAGAGCATGGCAAGAGAGATGAGTGCGTTTGTCAGGGACTGAGTATGATTGCCTATGGAATTTAAGAGGAGCAAGACAAAGGTTTCTCCCATCAGCACTATAAAGTAGGTCATACAAGCAGTATCCCTGTTTTACAGATGAAACCATTAATACAGAGCTTTTTGTAAAATTATGCTTTAAGCTCTGGGGTACATGTGCAGAACATGCAGGTTTGTTACATAGGCATACACATGCCATGATGGTTTGCTGCACCCATCAACCCATCATCTACATTAGGTATTTCTCCTAATGCTGTCCTTCCCTTGGCCCCCCAACCCCCCGATATGCCCCTGTGTGTGATGTTCCCCTCCCTGTGTTCATGTGTTCTCATTGTTCAACTCCCACTTATGAGTGAGAACATGTGGTATTTGGTTTTCTGTTCCTGTGTTAGTTTGCTGAGAATGATGGTTTCTAGCATCATCCATGTCCCTGCAAAGGACATAAACTCATTCCATTTTATGGCTGTATAGAACCATGTTTTAAACACAGATCTGTGAGCCTAGAAAATTTTTGTTGTTTCTCTTATGAGACATTTTATTCTTTTTTTTTTTTAAGTGAAATGGAATGTTCAAATCTTTTTGAAGTGAAATCAATAGGCTGAGTATAACCCCTTGAAAACCTCTTGACAAGGAAGTATTATAGTTTAAGATGATAGGCAAAACTGGGCAGAGGCTGGCTAGTGTACTTGAAAGAGCACTGGGTACTCAATTTGTGCTCTGCCATTCATTTGCTTCTCTGTAAGATGAGGGATCATTCAATATCAGTGGTTCAAATATTCAGCTGAACTGGAAGTTCCAAGGAGTCCTTTAGGGGCTGTTATAGCCTCCCCTACTAGAGCAACTCAGCTTTTTGCTTTTATCTACACTTGTGTTTTTATATCGATGTAAGATTTTATTCAAATGGATGACCCATTACCCCCTCACTACCTGCAGAAAGAATTTGAAAACCTCTAGACTAAATGATCTTTCTGGTTTCTTTCCACCTGAATGTTCTTTGAGCCTTGCCTACTTTGTGTGTGTGTGTGTGTGTGTGTGTGTGTGTGTGTGTGTGTGTGTCTGTACTAAGCACCATAAGGATTACATAGAAAGCTTTTCTCTTTCTCTAACACCTAAGGCAAATTGTATAAAAGGTTAAATGTATATAACATGAATAGCTAAAAAACATACAGTGCAGTTTAAATCCAACTAAAGTATAAACTCTTCAAAAGCTATTTTCTATTTCTTTATATATTTTCAGCCTTAAGTCTGTAGATTTCTCAATTGAGGGTAGCATGGTACTCACCTCTTAGGGTAATTTTATAAATGTGAAGACATGCTTTCATGTCTGCTAATATTGTCTCTGAGAATGTATGCATTGAAACAAGTATTTTTTGTTATTTTAAATTAGTTTCTTTATCGTACTCTTTTACCAGTAAGAAATTATTTTTAAAAATGGTGTGTTGGTACATTATGACTATCCTTGATGTTTATGAAAAGGTATCACAAAATATTTGTCATAAGAAAGACATGTTGGGTTTGATATGGTTGAGAACTACTGGGCTGTGTTCTATACTAAGGTACCCAGAAGTTTGGAAGTGAAGGTAATATAATCATGTATCAGATCGAGTGGTAGCTTTCCTAATGATGTAAGGAATTAGAAAAAGTGAAGATTGTTCTAGACTTGAGTAGTCATGAAATCTTCAATGGGAGGAGAGGATTGTTAGAGGGGGTCTTACATATTGAGGACCAGTACTGTGATAAAACACTTGACACGACACACCTTATCTTGAAGAAATGAATGAGCAGACTTGTCTAAGAGACTGAGAAAGTACTTTCAGGTAGGGTAAATCATAGAATTTAAACCTGGAAAGGCCCTAAGAGATCATCCAGGCCAGATATTCTTATTTCATGGTTATTGCCTTTTGAAGTTCGTGGATGGATTTCAAAGAACTTGTGAGTTCCTTGAAATTGTATCGTTTAGCATGTCTTTCTGAGGGGAATTGGGTTTCTAGGTCTCATTGTCAAAAAGGCCTACTGATCTAGTGTGCTCCCAGACTCAGGCAGATGGTTTGCTTAAGGTTACATAGGCAGTTAGGGGCAAAGATGAGGATTGACACCCAGTGATTTCTAGTTTCTTGCTCATTTCAGTGCACTCAGCTAAATGAAATAAACAAAGGCAGACACAGGGTTAAGCTACCATTTTATAGTAGATGATATAAAAACAATCAACTAGCCTGGGGTCAATTGAATTAAGTCTGTTAGTCTTTCTACAAAAGTTGCAGAAGGATGGGCTTCAGTTTGTCTCTTCAAAGTTGACTAATACTTTGATTTTTATTGTTGAAATATGCTACTACTCACCAAAATAGCTTTCTCAATGGAAGGCAAACTCCTTGAAACATACTACTATTCTTGGGCTGGGTACGGTGGCCCCCTTCTGTAATCCCAGCACTTCGGGAGGCCATGGAGGGCAGATTGCTTGAGCCCAGGAATTTGAGAACAGCCTGAGCAACATAGTGAAACCCCATCTCTACAAAAAGCACAAAAAACCTAGCCAGGCGTGGTGATGCACATCTGTATTCCCAGCTACTCCAGAGGCTGAGATAGTACGATCTCTTGAGCTCGGGAGGCAGAGGTTGCAGTGAGCTGAGATCATGCCACTGTACTCTAGCCTGGGTGACAAAGTGAGGTCTTGTCTCAAAAAAAAAATTACCATTCTTGAGACTGTTTCTGTGGTTTCTTTCCCATGACACTGCTTTTCTAACCTGCTGCAGCCCCCAGCTTTCTGCGTAATCCAATCAAAATTACCTTACCTGATTTGTCAGATCTTGTAACTACCATAGTGTATTTAGTCAGTGTGTACCCTATGCCCCAGTCAGACTAGTGTCCTTGCTATTGGTACTTCCTATTCTCCCAAAGTCCTTTCATTCCCACCTTTGTATCTTTTTTCATATGGTCTCTGAGCCTGGAATGCCTTCCATTCCTCTTTCATTTCTAGATGCCCAACATAAGATCCAGCTTAAATCTAATCTCCACAAAGCCTCTCCTAGTTACTCTTGGCCATTTTGCACTTCCTCTGAACTCCTTTTGCACTCATTGTTTATACTACTGCTTATACTGTGTGTCGTAGTTGTGTATTAGTTATGTATTACCACAAGGCTTTTCAGTAGAATTGCTTTAGTGATCATCTTGGGAATTGGGATTCCCGGAATTCTGGGGTGGGACTCTGGACATCCCCAAACCCTGTTTCAGCCAGAGCAACTCCACTTTTAGTATTACATATGGGCAGTTTGCAGTAGTGTTTTTTAGAAGAGATGGTTTAGTTGTACCCTTGTCCCCATGTGCCCAAACAGTTTAAAAAACACTGGATCTATCTTCTGTGATAGTTGACTCATAAGTGTTAACTTGTAATAGGCAAGGACCAGGAATTAATACTACTTCAGACTTGTATTACCACTCCTAGGCAACTAGTGCAGTTTTGAGCACAAAGTGGACATGTAGGAAATGATTTTACAATTGTATTGCTCCCATATGGGGAATAGGAGATAGTAAATAACATTACTTCAGAAATTTACTTTAATGAAGAACTCAGAATAATGTTTCTGGGTTGATCTTTGAGAAATAAATCTAAGTTGGTAGTTTCTGCCCCACTCCCCTCCCTTTGGATGTACGCCTAACCCTATTTAAGGCTGTCTAGTTTATATACACGTTTAAGAGAAATCTCATTCTTGGCATACCCTATTCTTCCAAAGTTTTGCCAAACTTAAATATCATATTCATGTATTTGTATAAGTATTAAGGCTGTTATTCAACTCACAGAATGATATGCAGAGCACCAGTACACCTAGAAACCTAGAAAAAATTAAATTCAGGAGTTGGTGTGCTCAAAGACATTTATGTCAATCATGATTATAAATGGAAAATACCAGCCTTTCAGACCAGTTATTTCAGTTTTCTGTAATTAATTGTGTAAGCTCATAAAGACCTGAGTATTTAAATCAATTATGCTATCAACTTGTTAATTCTCTTTTGTTTTTGTTTTTGTTTTTCCTGCTCTCTGCTTGGTTCATTGTCATCACCTACAGGTGTACTTTATTGTCGGCTTCCAAAGATTACTAACTTTTATCTGTATCACTAAGATTGAACTGCCTTGGCTCTACTGCTATTCTTACTGCTGCTTCCGTTATTGCCTTCTTCAGCAAAATAAGGCTTTCAAAAACCAAAGAATAACAAGAAATAAGCACCATTTTAGAAGCCTTTCCACTATGAAACTTAAGCTAAATGTGCTCACCATTATTTTGCTGCCTGTCCACTTGTTAATAACAATATACAGTGCCCTTATATTTATTCCATGGTATTTTCTTACCAATGCCAAGAAGAAAAACGCTATGGCAAAGAGAATAAAAGCTAAGCCCACTTCAGACAAACCCGGAAGTCCATATCGCTCTGTCACACACTTCGACTCGCTAGCTGTAATAGACATCCCTGGAGCAGATACTCTGGATAAATTGTTTGACCATGCTGTATCCAAGTTTGGGAAAAAGGACAGCCTTGGGACCAGGGAAATCCTAAGTGAAGAAAATGAAATGCAGCCAAATGGAAAAGTTTTTAAGAAGGTAAAGTATTTTAGTGATTTTCATTTATTTTTTTAAAGACGAAGACACATTTGTTTTATCATAAATCGAGTGTGTTTTAAATATGCTGGCATTCTATTATAGTGATGTGTAAAACTACTCAGAAGCCGCTCATAGGTTCTGTATGTTCACTTAAGAACATTTTTGGAGTTTTATGCTTTGGATAGTATTTAAATTGCTTGTTTGAATATACTAATATTAGAGAGTATATCACTTTGACAGTTAATTCTTGGGAATTATAAATGGATGAACTATCTTGAAGTGAACCTCAGAGTGAACAACTTTGGTAGTGGACTCACTGCACTGGGACTAAAACCAAAGAACACGATTGCCATCTTCTGTGAGACCAGGGCTGAATGGATGATTGCAGCACAGACCTGCTTTAAGTACAACTTTCCTCGTAAGTGCCTCATGTTTTTGGAGAAGGGAGACAAGACTCTTTGCTTGCATGTGAAAATTGTTTTGAGATGCTTATGATTTAAAAGTACGTGTTGGTTAGCCATTTTACACACAAATTATGTCCATAATACAGTATGTAATATTGTGGCTAAAAGATAACTAGTAACTCCTATTAAATATGGTAACTTCTAAGAACTAATATGGGAATTGGCATCTTTAAGGGATGTGATTTAGACTTTTATTTTCCAGTTGGAAATGAATTGTACCTAAAAGAGTTGGAGTTTGGGGGTATTTTTTAGAGGTGATACACAAAGAGTAATGATTAAAAGAACAAGAAAAAATTCTTAGGATAATTCAAGTTCATTGCTTCACTTTGAGATCCCTTATTTGACTTATTCCATTTTACATGTGAAATATGCATGTGACAGCTGGAATTGGCATTAGATATGTTAGAAAGTAAAATTGAGTATATTTCTAACACTCAAGCATTTGTTGTTGTCACCACTTAAGAAATAAACAATGCATTGTCACATAGTAAGTACTATATTGTTTGTTGAATGAAATATAACATTGTAGGGTAGGATTGGAGAGTTTGAATTTCAAAGAAAAAAATAGATAATATGGAAATGATCCCCTGTGTACCCATCACCCACTTTCAACAATCAACAGCTTGTGAAAAGTGGCTAATTTTAACCACGTTGTTGTTTCTGGTTGCCAGTCTAGAGCTCAATTTCCAATTCTTTCTAAGTTTAGAAAATGTCCTTTGATTCTAACTGATCTTGGTTCAAGTTTATGTTTAATTTTTGTTGGCTCCTAAGGAGTAGATCTCCTTGATCCCTCTAATTAAAGTGTGGAGGTCGCCAATCACATTGGACATTGGACTCACTAAAACGGCTTCTTAGAAGGAGTAAGAACATTATTTGTGGCTGATCTTCTGACTTAAGATCCTTTAGATTTTCAAGGACATATCTTTGCTTTGGAGGCTATGGCCAATGAAAGTGTGTATCATGAGGAAGCCCTAGCTGGACCAGTCTACCTGAATTGAGTTCAGCCAGTACCTATTGGCCTTGAGCATCTTGACAGATTTTAGATCAGCTGTGGCAATGCCATATTTCTGGGTTTCTTCAGGTTTAGGAAGTGAGAGTCCTGGGAATTTGTAAGAAAAACTTTGTGCTACCAGGGAGTTTGAGGCAAGGTTGAAGGGTAGTAACAGAGACTATGAAATCAAATTAAATTATACAATGTCTTGGTGTCTCTAAGTGTACCTATTGTTAAAGACTGACTTAAATAATATCTCTTTCTAATAGATGTTTATTACTTAAAATTTGTGTTTATTTTTATTATGTAGTTGTGACTTTATATGCCACACTTGGCAAAGAAGCAGTAGTTCATGGGCTAAATGAATCTGAGGCTTCCTATCTGATTACTAGTGTCGAACTTCTGGAAAGTAAACTTAAGGTAAATATGAAATTTTCTTTTAATTCATGGTTGCATTGTCTGGCAGGACAGGAAAATGTTCAATAAGTGAATTTTTGTTGCAGGCTCCAATTTAATAGCTGTTTTGTTTTTCTTTCTGTTCAACAGACTGCATTGTTAGATATCAATTGTGTTAAGCATATCATTTATGTGGACAATAAGACTATCAATAAAGCAGAGTACCCTGAAGGATTTGAGATTCACAGCATGCAATCAGTAGAAGAGTTGGGATCCAACCCAGAAAACTGTAAGTAAAGCAGTAAAAATAATTTAATTTACCTATTCCAGGTTTGTTATTTCAGTAGGTCAGGGAAACAAGTGACATGAATAAATCCACAAAAGTTCTTTGACTGAAAAAAAAAAGTTTAAAAATGTTTAAAAACTATCAAGACCATATATGACTAAGATTTTCTCTCCCTTTCTCCTCAAAAAAAGTAACTTAGTAAATTTCACTAAATTGTTGAGATGTAATCAGTGGTTCAGACTTTATGGCAGTTGCTGTCAAATGATTCTTCTTTTTTTTTTTTTTGATATGGAGTGTTGCTCTGTTGCCCAGGCTGGAGTGCAGTGGCACCGTGTCGGCTCGCTGTAACCTCCGTCTCCTGGATTCAAGCAATTCTCCTGCCTCCTGCCGAATAGCTGTTACAGGTGCCTGCCACCACACTGGCTAATTTTTGCACTTTTAGTAGAGACAGGGTTTCACCATGTTCACCAGGCTGGTTTTGAACTCCTGATTTTAGGTTCTCTGCCCACCTCAGTCTCCTAAAGTGTTGGGATTACAGGCGTGAGCCACAGAAAATGTTTAAAAAATTTTTAACACCTGTAGTCCCACCTACTCCAGAGTCTTAGGCAGGAGGATCACTCAAGCCCAGGAGGTTGAGGTTGCAGTGAGCCGTGGTCATACCACTGCACTCCACCCCGAGTGACAGAGTGAGACCCTGTGTCAAAACAAACAAAAACCTCAATGAGACTCCATTGCCTATGCCGTCACCCAAGCGGCCAAGATCTACAGAAATGTTGTCTTTCACAAATGCAGATGTATAAAAAGGACATCTCTTCATTTATTGAGGAAGTTTCAATGTTTTTTACGTACACATACAATGCTTACATACAATGTGAACGTTGTGAGGCTGGGTGTGGTGACTCCTGTAATCCCAGCACTGTGGGAGGCCGAGGCGGGTAGATCACTTAAATTCAGTAGTCTGAGACCAGCCTGACCAAGGTGGAGAAACCCCACCTCTACTAAATATACAAAAATGAGCTGGGCGTGGTGGCAGGCGCCTGTAATCCCAGCTACTCAGGAGGCTGAAGCAGGAGAATCGCTTGAGCCTGGGAGGGGGAAGTTGCAGTGAGCCAAGATCATGCCACTGTACTCCAGCCTGGGTGACAGAGTGAGACTCCCTCTCAAAAAACAAAGTTAACATTGTGATAATGCACTTTTGTGGAGTTGAGTTACTGATGTCCAAGGCAGCAGAGGAAACGTCTGCCCTAGCTCTAGGATAGACTGGTCTGCCTTCTGGATTTGTTCCCAGATCAAGGGCAGATCTTCCCCGCCTAGTCCACTCAAACTTCCACAGTCATCTCCTCGGGAAACACCCTCCCAGACACACCCAAAATCATCTTTTACCAGGTTCCCACGTGTTCTTTCATTCAGTCANTTGCTCTGTCACCTAGGCTGCGGTGCAGTAGCGCCATCTCGGCTCACTGCAACCTCTACCTCCTGGGTTCAAACAATTCTCCTGCCTCGGCCTCCGAGTAGCTGGGATTACAGGCACCCGCCTGTAAAAATACTAAAAAAAAATAAATACTAATTTTTGTATTTTTAGTAGAGATGGGGTTTCACCATATTGGTCAGGTTGGTCCCGAACTTCTGACCTCAGGCGCTCCATCTGCCTCAGCCTCACAAAGTGCTAGGATTACAGACGTGAGCCACCGCTCCTGGCCTGATTCTTCATTTTTAAAAAATAACCCACTATAACCTTCCAATTTGGGCCTCATAAAAGAATAATGTCTTAGGCCTTCCATTTAGTAAACTTTCTGAAAAAAATGCTTAATGCTAGTTATTTTAATGATGTTTCGGAGGATGCAAAACTGCTTAGCAATATTAATGCTTGGATTTATTTTACCATTGAGACGGTGTTTGGTATTTCATTTGAAACAACGGTACCTTGTAGCAAAATGTCAGTTGGCCATCAGGGCAGAGAGTTGAGGAAATTAATACTCCATTTGAAGAGTTTCCTTATAATGGTTAATGAGATGGTTATAATAGCATACTACAATGAGGAGATGATTCATTTTTGCAGAAGAAAATGTTGGTCGAATTTCTACTCAGCTTCTGAACATTTTACTATTAGATAATGAACACGCGTTTATAATAACAGGTATAGATTATAGCTTTCTGCCATGTGTCCAGAATGGCAGAGAGTCTGAGATTTTACCCTGCTTGCAGGTAAACAGATATGCCTGCAAAACTTCATGGGACCATAGACTTTTGGGTCAGAGATGAGGGACACTTTTTACTCACAACAATAGCAGTAGCCAGAAGTATCATGTCGGCATTTGTGTCATAGGAGAGGAACTCTGAGCTTAAAGGGCCTGAATATCTTATTTTTTTTTTGTACTGGAAAGTAAGCATGCCTGCTGTTTGCTCTGTAGGGAGACA